ATGGGGAGAGGCGGGAGCCGGGCGGGCGCAGGGCAGAGCTGTGGGTGCTTTTTGGGGGGCAGGTTCGCTCATTTTCTCCACGCTCGTCGCGACGGAATAAGCGGGACAGAAATTTCGCTTTCTGGCCGTCTGGAGGTTGGCTTTATCGTTTCGCCTTAAGCGCACGGCGCTGCTGGCTTTTTCAAAACAAAGCGTCAAGGAAATCGGGCTGTGCCATGCCAGGAGAGGGGAATAAATCCCTCGAAAATGCTGAACGCCAGCGGGTGTCGGGGGGCAGAGCCCTGCCTGCCCTTCCCTCCCGCCTGCTCCCCGGCAGCCGTGTCGTACCTGAATTTCAAAGAGTACAAATAGAATTTCGGCGTTTCATCACCGATAAACACCGCGGATCGAAGCGCTTACTGCTCATTTAAACACAAATAAGGGTTCTGCCTTTTAATGGCCATATGGCAGCATTTTCTCAAAGGCTTCGAATGTATACACACAATGTCAGATATATTTTGACTTCTCTGCATTAATTAAAAGCAGTGATGTTAGGAATTATTTGCATGTAATAACTGTTTACTTGTTCCTCTTTATGAAACTTGAATAGTTTACATTCTTTCATACATTTCCTTTTTCCTGTTGGCTCCTTCTCCATGTTGCAGTTTCTTTAAAACTCTCCACTTAACTGGTTGCAGGTTGATGGATGGAAAATGTTTTTCTTTTATGAATTAAGCCTTCATTTCTGTAATCAATTATTGTCTTCGGCTCTTTTCTTTCTGTTCTTTTTTTTTATTTTTCATCCTCCTTACACGAATTTCCAAACTGAATGCAACCCAATCTCAGCTTCACTCTTGAATTCATTATTAACTTTCCTCCTCTGCAGTCCCAAGCTCTGCATTAACAGTAGTTTACAGTCTCAGAAAGCACTTGGGTGAATAGTCTCCTTCCTTGGGCAGAGTCCTGGCAAACTCTCATTACAGCAGTGGAAACACCTCCACTGCCTCTAATGGGCTTCGGAGCGAGAAGCGTAACACAAGTGCTGATTTTGTTTGGGTTTGGGGTTTTTTTTTTAACATATTCTTGCGGGATGAGGCTTTGTAATGTTTGCAGAGAAATAACCCCATCGGGGCTCGCTGGGGCTGGCGTGAAGGTGGCACGGTGGGGTTTTCTTGCAGCGTGAAGCGTGTGCTTAGTTCCCCATGTACGGCCGTGCTTTCCCGGCAAGGGGCCCTTTCAGACCTATTTAGTGTGAAAAATCGTTTCTATTGAATTTTTATTCTGGGTGTCACCCTTGCTTTCCCTTGTTTGGCTTAATCTCTGAAAGCCCGGTGCTGGTTTCGTTTATTCTGGCAGATCTGGATTTGCTGCAAAATATTTTGTTGGAGCAGAGTTCTGTGTCTGTATATAAATGTTTGTGTAAATCCGATGTGTGGACGCGTGCGTCTGTAAACACGCACAGTCTGCCTCCGTGGGCAGCCCGTAACGCGTGCCTGAGCTGCAGGAGCCCTGTAAAATCAGAAGCAGCGAGGCTCTCGTTTTGAAAACAGGACTTGAAATGGTTCAGAATTGGGCATTTTTTTGTATTAACGTGTCTGGGATCGTTCCCCGGCACTGAGCTGGGAAGAGCAGGTCCTTACCCCCCCGCCCCCTCCAAAATTACCATCTCCATGTGCAAGACAAAGGGAGGGGAGAAAGACCAGTTTCCCCCTATGCTTCGCTCAAACCCCCCCACCACCCTTTTCTGCTCAGATTGCACTGTATGAGTAACCTCAGCCCGGCTTCCCGAGAAGGCGGGAAATGAGTAAAAATGATGCTGAGTAATAATTGTCATTTTCGATTCATGGGAGGATTTTTGAGAGCTGTTAAAAAAAGCAAAAATGGCCCGGCCGGCCCCAGGCTGCGGCCGTCCTCCCTGGAGGTGCCGCTCGGAGGTATTCGTATCTGCAGCGAGCCAGGAGGGGAACTGAAATGCAGGGAAATTATCTCACACGGGGAATAAAAAAATGGCAAATAAAAATATCGGATGCAGTAGTGAGTGGGGGAGCCGGGCGCGGAGCTGGTGGG